GTATCTTGGTTGTGCCCCCCTTGCCCTGCTGAGATCCACCCATTCCTCATGTTAAGTTCTGTGAGTTCTTGCAGTGATTTCTCAAGTGATGGCTAGCTATAACTGCTTTAAAAAAAAGCTTCCTTACATAAGAGTTAGTGGGACAAGCAGAGTTCTCCTTACTGTAGTTCAAATGATACTCACTATTGTATTCTTCTGCCACCTGGACAGTCTCCCTCTGTTGTACATCCCACCTGCTGACTTGGGGATTCTGTTCAGTGGAGTCACTCAGATCTTCAACCTTGAGTAGTCAAATCTATGGTCTCCATTCCCTCATCAGACATCAGTACTGCACCCTCCTGCAGAGGGCTGTAGTCCAGTCTGAAAGCTCTGACACATGCCCTGATGAATCCCTGAGTTATAGCAACTCTTCTCTGACACCTTCTCTAACAGCAACCCCCAGATCCTCGTGGTAATTAGGGCTCATCACCTTTGCCAACATAGTCACTCAGTTCTTTGCCTGATAGACTCCTGGGAGGGGACAGCAAAAAATGGCTTGAGGGCAACTTTTAATACAATCCCACAAGGTCCCTTGCAGAGGTGTATACTTCTGCTCAGCACGGAAACCAGAACTTCTACTGTCACAGTCTGGAGGGGGATTGGGCTAATAAGACAGACTCCTCAAGAAGGTCATCATGAGCCTTTGTGAGAAGACCTCCCCTACTTTCCTGCCTTGCTTACCAGATCCATATAGTTTATCTATTGGGACCAAAAACTTGTCTTGGCTGATATGGCACACCGCAAAACCAATAGACACTGAAACCAAAGGAAGAAATTTGGAGTGCTTTATTAGCTGAGCTCAGCAGCAACACTGTCCTCAGAAACTGACAAGAGTGTGAGACATAATTTTTAAAGCAGAAAACCACAAAAGTAGAGGGAGGAGGGGGGAATTTTACAGAGTTAAAATGACCGAGGGTTAACTCTTTGTTCCCATAAACAAAGTCACATTTTGCAAACCCTACAGGAATAGGTCCTTATTTGGCTTAGGCATTGTTTTTGTTCTGGTAGTTGGAAGGACATCTGGTGAGAGTTTAACCCAGTTCTCAGTATGATGAGAAACATTTTCTTATCTGCACAAGCAGTCACATTTTGCGGTTAGGCATGGGTGGGAGTTTACAAAAGAGATCAAGGTTTTACAAAACAGAAGTTACAAAGCTTGTTACAAAATGGAGTTGATTAAGCCAGATTACAACACCTCAAAGTAAATGTCAAATTTTGAAGTTCAGGATCCCATCACCACTGGACATTATCCCCAGTGTTCTGCATCTGGTAGCTTCTGCCTGGTACACATATGAGAGATGAATCAATCCCATGATCATGTGACCCCAGAGTAGCTGACATGGCCAGATCATGGGCTGACCCCTGTGCCGAGCCTTCTCTTGGTCTGAGCCTTGCAACCGAGTCAGGAGTCAGACACTGTGCACTGTGATAGCCAAGGCATTTTTAAATGTGCTGTTGGAATATGAATACTCACCCCCAAACTGCAGAGATTATAAATGAGCTACTTAATGAATTTTTATAAACACACCTATATATAGCTTTTTCATAATGACTCTATTAAAATAATTTGTTAGTTTCATAAGCAAATAATGGTTGAACTGCATTAGTTCTTGGGTTTGAAAAATCTTTTAAACTAATCCATGTCCCAGAAATGTAGCATTTATTAGAGTACAATCTAATACAATCCACAATAAATTCATTTCACCTCCCAATTCAAAATGCATGAGTTCTGTTGGACTTACAAATTTTTGTTCTCTTCTTTATATCATATTGGAATTCCACACATACATATTTGGTACCTATACAAACACACACATGCACATGCATGTGGACACACACACACACACACACACTATATATATATATATATATATATATATATATATATATATATTTCCCTTTCTGTCATTTTTGAGCCTAATCTCACATTCTCAGCTCCACCAGCTCAGAGGATGGGAGAACATATGCTTTTCCATATGCTCAAAACAGACTCCTCAATGCGTTTATTACCCAGAGCTCAGTGATTAAGAAATGTTTGTACTATTTTATTTTTCCTCATAGTGAGTCATTCTACTGTACATTTCAAAATTGTGATAAATTGAAAGATCCACGAATTGAGGTATGTTTCAACAAACACCTTCCCATCTGCTAAATAAGATTTTATTTATAACCAGGTATTCCAATATAATGAAGTGAAGTGATATTCAGAATTATTTTATTACATGAGTAAAGGACTGAAAGAAAACACTAACCACCTCCAATCCATTCTCCACAACCAGATCGTGAAACTCCTCCTCTCTTGCACATTTTAACAGGTTCAAAATCCTCAGCTTTGTACGGCATAGCCCTCTGTAGTCTGAGTTTTGATTCCTTCTGGCTTCCTCTCATAGCTCTATCCCTGCGTATTCCCATGAGTTGTGTCTACATCAGCACTCTATTTGATCCTCATATGTAGATAAAAAGTGTTCAAAAGGCAAGTCCATTTTCATAAACTGAATACCAACCACTTTTCAACTGGCTATTACACACCATGGGATCTTCCATAAGTCATCACTTGGGGTTTAGTATGGAAGCAAAGATTAGTATTTTCAATTTTTTTGGTATAATATTTGAAAGCCCTGCAAAAGCTAGGGTAGTCTGGAAAAGTCATTGTCCTGGGATGCTCTGAAATAGTGGTGGATTCCTTCATGTTAAGTATTAAGTTGGTTCCTCTTCTCTCTTCACCACCCACCCAGGCAAAAGTTTCTCTACCTGACACTGTGCACCCAGCATTCAGGGCATTGTCCTGACTCTTCTTTTCTCAGAGCTTCATGAGAGAAGATAGAGTTGGTCCAAGATTCAGGCACAGGCTGAGGGATTTTATGAATCATAAGGTTGTGGAACGTTTTTAATGCCAAACCAAGAGGAACATGCTTCTTCATTTTAGAGCTGGCTTGCATTTTTCTCCATTTTCCCTTTCTTCCTTTCCCCTTTCTTTGCTTCTTCATTTTATATCTGTAAATCTTCTTATTAAAAAAATAGCCATTCAGCAAAGTATCTATTTAAAAAAGGGTCCCTACCCGTTTATGAAAAGGCAAGTCAATCAGTTAATATTTGTGCACCCTTTAAATGTGCTTAGTTCAGTGGTATGCCTTTACAGGAGGTCCAAAAATCTGATTGGAGGGAAACAGTTTTAATTAAATTTTAAAAGGCTGAAATATTTGTGTTTGCATGAGTCCTATAATTCAGAATAAAGGCCATTGTCTCTCAGGGAGATTGGGAATTTTGCTTACAGCCAAAGATTGTGTAAGATTAAGGTAATGGATCACAGACATCTGTTGGATAGATGGTGTGTTAATTAGACCAGCCTACTGTAACAGATATATCATAGGCTAGTGGTTTCAATAAAAGACATTTCCTTTTGACAGTTCTGGAAGGCTGGCAGCCCAATATTAGGGGTACCAGCATAGTTTGGGTCTGGTGAGGATCTTTTTCCAGCTTGCCAACAGCCAACTTCTTGTGTCCTCATGGTAGAAAAAGGGCAAACTGGCTCTCTGGCTTGTTCTTGTAAGGACACTAATCCCCTTCATAGGGCTCCACTGTCTTCACACAGTTAGCTCCTCACCATCTCCAGATATACCATCACATTAGGATTAGGTTTTAACGTGAATTTGGCATTCATCGTAGGTAGCAGCAAGGCCGATCTGGATACAAAGTCAGGGCAACAGAAAGAGAGTGCTATCTAGTTCTGCTTATCCTGTGTTTTCCAGAAAGCACTGCCTACACCAGTATGTTCTTAGCATACAGAGACCCTAAAGCACAGTTCTGGAACGTATGGCCATGATTTCTGATGGGATGAGGCTTGAGAGTCTGCATTTCTGTGGGTTCTCAGGTGATGCTGATGCCCTGGGTCTGGGTTAATCTCTGAAAACAAGAGATCTAGATGGTGGTGGTATCTGGATGATTTGTTCTTTGATCATTGTCATCCCCTAAAGACAATGCTGCAAATGGGCTTTGTCCGTGATAGTTTTTGCTCTGCTTGAAACGTGCAGTGTCCTGTTCATATCTCTGCGTCGCTCAGTCACATCTCACCTTCCCAGTGCCATTCCAATCCCCAATCCTTGCGACTGTGACCACCACTGAGTGGTTGACCATTTTCTGTCTTTGTTGTTGCTGCAAATTAATTTCCCATCTTGTGACCTTTAGACAATCAAAGCTGTGAGATGTTAAAAGGAAAAAGAAAATAATTTTATCAGTTTGTAATTCCTGCTTTACTCTCATTTCCTGCCAATACATTGGTACATGACAGTGGTGATATGGGGTATTTGATTTCAGTTTTCTGTTCAACACTGATGATAGTTTTGTAAGGCAATTATTTATCTTGAAATTCTTTTTCTTGATGAGATGATTGCCCAGGTAGGCAGGAAGATGACTGCTGGTAGTAGCAATTCTGATAATCACATGTTGGGTTAAGGCATTACCTATTAAATAATTAGATTACAGTGGAATCTTGGCAGGAATTTTGAATTCCTTTCACCACTCATCACTGTACATGGAAAATTGTGAAGTAGCCAAAACCCTTGGAACTTTTTTCCATGAATCAAAAGAGAGTTAATAGCACATGGTAGACAGTCTTGCGTTTGGTGAATGAACAAATGAACACATGTGAAGTAAATTCATAAGTGATTTTTCTTCTCTCCATGAAGCTAAAATAGACATGGTTCTGTGAAATATAGGCATAGTTATTTTGTATCAGTTTTAAGTTTGGCAGGCCACCAAATGTTAATTTGCTTTTAGCTAGTTCAGATTAAATGTAATTCCTTCCCTGATCAACCTTAAAGTAAGGAAGCATGAAAGCATTTTCAGAGTAATCTGGGAGGAATTGACATTTAGCAGAGTTAGCGTTACATTTGTACTTTAAGGCAATTAATTTCATAGATAAATTAACTTCATTACCCCATCTTTATCTTGCATTTTGAAAGGACTCCATCCACTGGAGGGCTGAAAGCGGAGGGCCAATTGAAACTGCTCTTGTCCCAGCCGGGCTGCAACTGGAATCTGCTTCTGGAAACCCTACTGTGCAGTGACGGACTTTTACCAAGAATCTTGTTGAAAAGCTCAAGTGAGTATTTATGGTCACAAGAATGTCCACAGAAAACCAAACCATTGCTCCCAGAAGGAAGCTTTTTCCTTACTCAAATGTTGGTGTCAAGGTGTAGACCAACTGCCTGTACCAACAATCCATAGGATCAGCAACAGGCAACCATTGCGCCGCTTTGCCAACTGATCTGAAATAATTTTTTTCAGGGATTTTGAGTGAATGGGAAACAGTATTTTTGTATGATGCTGTTTTATTACAACCATCGTTGTACAGAAATGTATCGATATTCAAAGTTTGCAATGCCCAAGAAAATTAGGAGAAAGGCAGTTTTATTTCCAAAACACAAGCCTGAATTACAGAGGAAAGAGATAGGAAAGGACCACATTACAGCAACCTCAGAAATGCTGGTGAATCTTAGAGTGTGCTCGTGCAGCGTTCAAATGAGCAAGCTGGGACTTTGTTGAGGCACAGGGAAGTTGTGAATGAAGACTGAGGAGTAATAAAAGACCACAGAATTAGATTTCCTTTCCTTCCTGTAAATGCCATTTTGGAACATAGTAAATGTGGCTCCCATGTATTGTGCTGCTCTCCTTCAGCTGTGAAGAATCACCTAACCATTTCCCCACCCTTACACACTTCTGCTCCATAACACACCTGAATCCAGACTCAACTTATCAATAGCTTCCCTTTGGTTTTGCCAAATTAAGATCGTTTCCTCTAGGTCTCTATCACTTGGTGGACCAAATTCAGGACCTTTATTTAGCCATTCAATATGATCCCACATTGGTTTTCCACCCTTTGACCCAGAACACTTTGCATACACCCCTCCCCCATTCATTGTCCCCTAAGCCCATGCAGTACTCCCTCAGCATCTCACTGGTCAGCCTCTCTGGCTGTAAAGACCTCCCCCACCACCCCGACAACATGGCTCTACCAGTCTGAAAGGGCCAGTTTAGTGTTCAGACACTGTATTTCACATGGACTTCTTCCTCCCCTGAACCTCTCAGGACCCTGTTCCTTATTTGCACTTAACAAGCTCTGCCTTTTTTGGATTCTATTTGAACATAAATAAGACACATGTCCTCAGGCCCTTTCAGTCTGTTGATACACATGGTGCAGTTCACAGCCTCCTGCTGTCCCAGTTGCTCCAGTCATTTCTGATCATCTTTGGTTTCTCACACCTGATTAAGACCAGTTTCTCATACTCTTCTCTCTTAGACACCTTCCATTTGTTTTCTAAGAGCCACCTGGGGCAGGTGCCCCTTGTGTGAGTATCGTGTCTTCCCTGGTGCTCCAAAAACCATGAAATCTTGTGGTGTTAGAGGTCACTGAGTGCCCCAGGCCTCCTTGTACTGAAGCGGAGCTCCTCAGTCCCCAAGCAATGCTATTTGGACCTCAAATCTCGCATAGTTCACCTGAAAGCAGTTTCTCTGGCTTCCTGTCCTAACTGTATCCTCCTAACTGAAACTGGAGCCAAGGAAACCATTTCATCCAGTGAGAGCATTTTAGGTTCTCAATAGGTACTGGGCACTTTACATGTATGATCTAATTTGATTTTTCATATGTCTCATAAACTTCATGCACTTGTTTTCTTCATATTAAAAATAAAGACACTGACATTTAAGATAAATACAGTTGGCCTTCTGTATCTGCAGATTGCACATCCATGGATTCAATCAACTACAGATGGAAAATACTGTATTTGGGAAAAAATTACATCTCTATTTAACATGTGCAGGCTTTTTTTTCTTGCCATTATTCTTTAAGCAATAAATACAGCAATTGTTTGCATAACATTTACATTGTTACTGGGTGTTATAAGTAATCTAGAGATGATTATATATATATATATATATATATATATATATATATATGAAGATGTGTATAGGCTCTAGGCAAACATTACACTACTTTATATAAAGGATGTAAGCAGCCATAGATTTTATCCACTGAGCTTTCAGGAAAGATGGCTGCATGACATGGATAGTATCTGACATGGCTGAAAGAATTATTCTGATATAATCATTAAAAATCACAGGCACAGTCCCATAAGAGAAATCGTCTACTATTGATAGAATTATGTAGAGCAGCCTGGGAAGTCAATTAAGATCAAGTCTTTTGACTAGACTGATAAAACCAGTAAGCACAGGAAGAATAATTATTCTCATAAATATGAAATTATGCTTTCTTAGAAACGAATCCCACTTAGCAAAAGTATAATGTACTCCTTTGGGTATATGTAACATGATTCTGCTTTGAAGAGAACAGTCATCAAGTGTACCATAGGGTGAGACTTCAGCTATGGTATTTAAGGAGTTCATCAGTGTGTATTGGTAGCTCACCTACACAAATAACCATCACTTGTTACAAGGACTATTAGGCTCTGTGGTTGCTCTGATATTTTTCTGTATTGAATTTTACTAGCTACTTCAAATAGCATGACGATAAACTCATAGAATTTTCTAATCAATTGATTGACCGTTGATTAGGTGCCAGCAGAATTCTTGTCACTTTAGGTTAAAAACAATATACTCAGGGAATCTTACCATGTATACTGAGATAGAAACTACTGTGTACATAGAACTAAATTTATAACACTATTACAGAAAATTTCTTTTCATGTCACTAAAAAGCCTCACAGTATTTTAGAATACCACTTAGCAACTTAAAAGTTTAATCATACTTTTAGAAAAGTAAAATTATGGTAAAACCTTCTGAATTAGAAATTTTAATTTAATTTTCAACGCAGGTATCAGCTTTCTATAGGGGAAATTTTCCTTATAAAGAATGCATTTTTATATAACTGATAAAATTTAATTTTGTGCTGAATTTTCTGAGAAATAAGAGGACAATGATAGTAAATATATATTTTCTTATATATTTTTAAACAAAGTTCAGTGAACAGCTATTTAATTGTTAGGTGTATGGTTTTTCTTGATAAACAACCATATAATAGAAAGTTGAAAACTATCTCATAAATGAGGGTGATGTCTTTAGCTTTTGGTTGTGCCCTTTGAAAATGATTTATTGGAATTTTATTTGTTTCAAAATAATCGGTTGAACACATAAGGGAATGACTCTACTTCCTGACAATCAGAAAAATAGAAAACCTAAATTACATTTGGTAAAATTTTAATTTCTATTATATGCATCATGCTTCAACATTGAATCATTGCTTTTCCAGGATATCAATTCCTCTTCTATAAAAATATGCAGCATTTTGAGAAAATGATTAACATTGTTAAAATGATAAAAATTAAACTGATTTTAGTGGTTGTAATGATAAGTGGCTTTACCACCCTTCAGGTTCAGTCCAACTGACGTGTGACGATAAAGTTTGTTGATTTTCACTCAAGCTATCTTGACTCCAAAGGGAAAACACCTCATAACTACAAATGTTCATTAGGATTTTTAAACTGTAAGATGTTATTTTTGGTACTGACTTTAAAGATTAAGGGGAGTCATTTGGTTAATTACCTTGCTGAGTCCCTCAGTCTCACAGGCTTTTATATACGGTGTCAAAGGGATAAATATTTGGCAATTCCCCAATGGCCAGCAGGTGACCTTTCCTGTTAGTCATTTTTTTAAATTTATTTTATTTTATTGAGAAAAATAGCAATGAGATAGTTTCAAAACTGATTAATAGGACAGTTTCAATAATTAATACATTGTACATTGTTATCTTCTTAGTGGTTATCCATAATACAAGATGCAGAGAGAGTATCCTGTCCAAACACTATTAGTACAAATCTTTCTTCTCATTGAATTAAGACAAAGTAGCTGTATATCTATCCTAAATATTCTGTATATACAGATACAAAATGGCCTTCCTTTGTATCCCCTTTTTTTGTTTAGTCCTGTCAGAAATGGGTATTCCATTGGCATCTAAATACTATAGGTGTGTGAATTCAGCAAAACAATCCAACACAGTCCAGCAGTCCCCAATAGTATTGGGTTATCTGCAGAAGTTGTTGACTTGAGCCTTTCACAGCTCAGCATATTAATATGACTTTACTTTGTATATCTCGTTTTTATACTTTTCTACTGGATGGTTAAGACCAAGATAAACCAAGACCTATATAACAAGAAATGTAACTTTTGTATCTGATAAGGTCGGTCAGGTACCTTCAGGACTTATCCTGTAACCCTGTACCGCAGTTTGCAGATCCTTCGTCAGTGTCAGCAATTTAAATGATATTTGAATCAAGTGTGACTAACATGTTTTCCTTTCCCTGTTGCCTGGAAAATGACTCCCAGTGAAACCTGTTGGGTTCTGGTGCTGTTCAGCCACAATATAATAAGAGCAAATCAGCAAATATGTAATGTTTAACATGTTCCAGACATTGTTTTTAAGTGGTTTCACTGTGTTCACTCAGTCCCTAGAACAGTTCTGCATGACCAGTACAGCTACCATCTTCACTCAAGGGGTGAGGAAACTGAAGCACAGAGAAATCCAAGCCTCACACCTAGTTAGTGGTAAGGCTACACTGGATCTGGGGAGCCAGCCTCCACATGCTTACACTCTTACCCCGTGTGGATGCCACACACAGTCACAGGATGGTCACCAAGGAGCTGCACTGCACAGTTCAGTGAGTGATACAGAACCTTGGTAGGGGTTCCTTTGGGCAGTGCATTTTGTACTTTTGAACCTTGTTTAAAAGTGCTTAAAACAGGCTGGTCAGATAGCTCAGCAGCCCGCCCCTGGGGTGCACTGAGACTGATTGAGACTAGGTATGGTGGCACGTGCCTGTAATCCCAGCACCTGCGAGGCTGAAAACAGGAGAATCACTGTGAGTCCAATCTGTGTATTGAGACTCTGTAGACTCTGTACTAAATACATTAAAAAAAACCCAAAACATTTAAAAATGCTTAAAACAACCAAGAAATAGTATAGACAACATTTTAACTAAAGGTCTGCTACCACTACTAAGTCACACTTGACTTAAGATGAATAGATCAGTTTGATTTCTCTTGTCTTGTAGTCACATTTTCTGAGCTCTTAGGTAATATAAGGCATAGTA